AAGGAAAATCGTGTTGGGTTTTTAAGCTTGATTTAGCTTAAAAGAGGGTGAACGGGAAATGAAGGGAAAAATGAAAATTTGATTTTCACAAAGTATATTGGAGGGGGAAAGCTCATTTGTTGAGTATATATATGATTACACTTCTTCTAGCTCTTAAAGAGTTGAGAAGAAGCAACAAAATTTATTTGTCTATTTACGTAATAGCCGTTTTACGCGAACGGTAATATTGAAGATTTGCACCTTCTTATTTAAACCCAACCTGCTGGCTATATATCTCCTCTTCCTTTCTGCATTGTTTTCTTACAAAACAAACAACGTACGTGTGATTTGCTGCGTGTTAATTCGCTGAAACACTGGGGTTTGAAGTACCACTACACCAGTGTGTAATCCGTTCTATCCTGGGAGGAAATAATCCACACCCTCAGGTACTAGGAGTGGATTAAGTTTCTCAAGAAAATACTGTCAATTCAATGGGCTCGAATTAAATTCTGTTTCTTCTACATTTTTGTTTATACGTTGTTTTTCTTCTCCAGAATTATTTTACAAATACAGTTTACTAACAAGCTTAAGGAACTTAATTTTATATTCTGTATTTGTGTTATACATACTGTTCTGGAGACTAAAACATGCGTGATTTTCTACTCCCGTTTTGGAGATTAAAGCCTTTGTGGTTTTCTACTCCAATAGTAAACGTATATTCTGTTTTGGTTTATTATCTGTTATTTGGAGATTAAAATTCTAGCGATTTTCTACTCCATTGGAAATTACAATCTATGTGATTTTCTACTCCAGTTTTATTCGATTTGAAGATATAAAAACTTCGCCATATATTAAATATTTGTTTGTGTTATTCTTTTACAGAAATGATGACTTGTTCCTATGGTGACTGCCAATTCATCGACAAGCGGAACAACACCTGCATTGGCACAGACACGGCACAAAAGCCCAAAATTATTTTTGGGATTGATTTCAAGCGGTGGCAGCAGAAGATGTTCTTCTACTTGACGAATTTAAGTCGGAAAATACAAGGGGGAGGGGTGAATTGTAGCCGATTTTAATTGCTTAGTTGACTGAGTGTGAATTTAGTCGACTAGACTTTATACAATGTTTGACTTCAGTAGAGTAAAATGAAAAGAACATAAGGTAAAAGAGACACAACCGTTTTTATACTGGTTCAGTACCGGTGTGTTACCTACGTCCAGTTTCCTTGGGTCACAAGGGTTCTCTTAGATCTTTGATAAATATTTGCAGTAGTAATGATATTGTGAACGTTCACTACCAACGTTGTACAATAACTTTAATGCTTTGTATAGTTGACACAACTTTCTTTATGTGTTCTACCTCTTCCTATCTTTTGAGATATTTGTAGATTCAAGAATACAATGTTTGTACTAAGGATTAGAAAGGCTTAGAAACAGATGTTATAGTTGTGTATTTAATCCTTGAGTTTGCCAATCTTCTTATAGGAGAGTTTTGAGAGCCGTTGTAGATTGATCTTTGATTGAGACCACAATATTCTAATGATATTTGACCCAAGAGGTGCCTCCGATTCCTTCATGAGAGATGAGCTAGATTCACTTAAGTGCTTGCTTTCCATACCCGAAATCCAGGGAGTGATTTGTGGTTATTACACTTGATTTGTTTCACTTTATTTTTGATAGCTTTAAGGAAAAAGGACAACACTCAAATTGTCTTCCATTATGTTGTGTTTCCCTTCCATTTTGAATCTCCTGATTTACTACAATCATGTCTTCCATGATATCGTTTCACTTTGTTTTGGATCTTCCCGAATTACTGCAATCAATAAGACAAAGTGGGTAAGTTAGATTTGTTCTATTGTCATCATTGAAACTTAAGTGTGACAATCTCTCCCTTTTTGATGATGACAAAACAAAAAAAAAATTAAATAGAGTAAAACAGAGTGTACTTCCCTTTCATAGCTTAAGATGCATGCTCCCCCTGAGTTTTTGCTCTGGTTGCTTTATTTTATCTTCCTTCATGTTTTATCCCCCTTTGGCATCAATCAAAAAGAAAAAAAAAGTGCAGATAGAACAATCATAATAATATAGGTCACAAGTAAACTAGTTAGGATAGTAACGTTTATGCCTTCAACAGAGGCATACTATGATGGTTCTTACAGACCAGCGCAAAAAAATACCAAATGAACAAACTAAAGACAAGCAGGGAACAAAAATTGTTTTAAAACACACACACACACAGTGCCTTTGTTTCTCCCCAGGAAGTACTTCAGGGTATTTATCACTTTGGTGCAGAAAAAGTCATAAGAGGTATCAATTTCTTTGGTGATTTTGTTCATCTTTTCTGTCATGGAGTTGAAAGCCCTGATTCCTTGCCTCCTTGTAGCTCCTATGTCAATCCTGAGCTTAGCCACATCTTTGCCTGTTTCTTTGGTGACTTCCCTGATCTTGTCCACTTGTTCTTTCATTGTGGTGAGCATGATTTTTATCTCATCTAGACTTTACTGAATATGCTGTAGGTTATTTGTGGTAGTCGACAAAGGCTCTATTGGTTCAGTGGGTGCTTCAACTTGTACTGAAGCACTTTCAACCTTGGCACGCATGACCCATCCGTTTTCATTTAAGGTGTAACCCATCATAGCAAATGTTGTCTTATCATAAGTGCTTGTAATTTGCTTAGGTGAAAAATGTGCCAAATCAACCTTCATGACTTCAAGTATATGAGATGAGCAAGCCATAAGGTAAGCAATCAGCAGAAGAGGATATATCCATGATACTTTCGAGCATATACTGAAGAATCCATACAAACCAGTCAAGTCTTTTATTGTTCACAAGACAGTAAAGAACGAATATGTCTCTAGTAGTCAAAGTGCCGAGAGACCCAGTCCTAGGAAGCAGAGTAGTAGCTATCATATGGGCTAAAATACGGTGTTCAAACTTGAAATTTTTAGGACCAATGTCAGGAGGGTTTTCAGACATAAAGGCTTTTGCTTCTTCTAAAGAAACTTCAAAGTCTTTAGGCTAGGGATTTTGTACAAAGACATCATAACAATGAAACTTAGCAGAGAATATCTTTTCAAATTGATAGGGATCAAGAACAATCCGAGTGCCTAACACCATTGATTCTAAGTCATCTTTGTCAGTAACAAACAGATTTGCATAAAACATCCTTACAGGCTCTTCATATACAGAGGTTCCAATAGTATCAAATAGAGAGGAGAGACGTTGAAAATCAAAGATAGTAATTACATCACAGTGTAAACTTTTCATAAGAGGAAGACTTACAGAGCGTCCATAGGCCATAGATTTAGACTTATAAGACTCAAACCTTGATTTTTCACTTGGTCCGTAGAAGATCAGTTTATCCGCTGGCCCAAAATCTGAGCTTTCCACTTTCACTTTCTTGCATGCAGGCCTTTTAGGGGTTTGCTCCATGGGACTTTTTCCTTCCCTTTTTTGACTAATATGAAGTTCCTCTGATGATTCACTGCTTTCATTATCGGTTTTGATAAAGTATGAATCAAGAGATGATTCAAGGTCAACCGTTTCTTCAGGATTTTGGATTTTCTGAAATCGTCTGCTTTGTCTTGAGGCGGTCGATGATGAGAGATTTATTTTTTCCATGGTAGAGAAATTTTGTGAGAAGTGATGGAGAATGAGAGAGAAAAGGGCTATTTATCTAATCTCTTGAGAGGTTGAAGAGGTGCACCGGTTAGAGGAAAAGGTGAATCCAAATGGAAATGACCCTTTTGGGGAGTTGCTTCGGCGACACCAGTGTAATAATAACACCTACATCAAATTAATACATTCACCAATTAAGCAGACCAAGAAAATATTTTATAAGGATATGAAGGATTTCTTCACCAAATAGATATAATACCAATCTTTTTACGCAATATACAAAATCTTTATTCCAAAAGAGGTTTTGTAAAAATATCAGCAAGTTGCGATTCAGTATTTATGAATTCTAACAATATATCACCTTTTGCAATATGATCACGAATAAAATGATGTTTAATTTCAATGTGTTTTGCCCTAGAATGATGCACATATTTTTTTGACAACACATATAACACTTGTATTATCACAGAATATAGGAGTAGAGGTAAAAGATAAATCATAGTCTAGAAGTTGATGCATGATCCAAAGGACTTGTGTACAACAACTCCCTACAGCTAAATATTCTGCTTCAGTAGTTGATAGAGCAACATAATTTTATTTCTTACTATGCCATGAAATTAGAGCATTTCCCAACAATTGGCATGTGCCACTAGTACTTTTCCTATCAATCCTATCACCTGCAAAATCTGCATCTGAAAAACCTTTTAAAGCAAAATTGTTAGAATGAGCATACCATAGTCCTAATTCAGTGGTCCCAATGAGATATATAATAATACGTTTAACTGCAGTAAGATGAGATTCCTTTGGAGCCGACTGAAATCCTGTACACTTACATACACCGAACATTATGTCTAGTCGACTAGCAGTTAGATATAATAGTAATCCAATCATTCCTCTATACATTGTTTCATCCACATTTTTTTCATTTTTGTCTTCTTCAAGCAAAGATGTTGGGCTCATTGGAGTTCCAATAGACTTTGCATTTTCCATGCCAAACTTTTTTATGAGTTCCTTGGTATACTTGGTTTGGCTAATAAAACTCCCTTTTGAAAATTATTTGATTTGTAATCCAAGAAAGAATGTTAGTTCTCCCATCATGCTCATTTTAAATTCTTCTTTCATAATATGAGTGAATTCTTTACATAATACAGGGTTAGGACTTCCGAAGATGATATCATCAACATAAATTTGAGTAATAAGATTACATTTATTTGAGTGCTTAATAAACAAGGTTGTGTCGATATTACCTCTTTTGAAGCCTTGATTTAGAATAAAGGAGCTTAGTCTTTCATACAAGGCTCTAGGAGCTTGCTTGAGTCCGTATAGAGCTTTAGACAACTTGAATGCATGGTTTGGGAAGCTGGTAGTTACAAAACCAGGAGGTTATTTCACGTATACTTCTTAAGAGATATATCCATTTAAGAACACACTTTTTACATCCATTTGAAATAGCTTGAATTCTTTATGAGCAGCAAAGACAAGTGGTATTCGAATGGATTCTAATCTTTCTACAGGTGCAAAATTTTCATCGTAGTCCATTCCTTCTTGCTGAGAGTAACCTTGAGCAACTAGCCTTGCCTTGTTACAAACCACCTGACTAGACTCATTTAGTTTATTTCTGAAGACCCATTTAGTTCCTATAGTGGAAGTGTTTGATTGTTTTGGAACAAAATCCCACACTTTATTTCTTTCAAATTGATCGAGTTCATACTTCATAGCTTTGACCCAGTAGACGCCTTTAAGGGCTTTATCAACCTTTTTTGGTTCAAGTTGTGATATTAAGGCCATGTGAGAGTTGAGCTTCTGGTAGTGATACATTCTTGTGGATTTCCAATGATGAACTTGTGAGGATATCCAGGTTCACTTTTCCATTCATTTGGAATATTTGTGATTGACTGTTCAGTAGAAGATGGTTCCTGGATTTCAATGTGTTCTTCAGTTGACTGATTTTGCTAATCAGTCGACTGATATTGACTATCTTTTCCTGCAACAACAAACTTTGGAACAATAGAGATTTCCTCATCTTCAGGAAGTTTTACATTCCTTAAGTGAGTGTTAGTATCTACAAAAACAACATGAATGGATTTCTCAATGCAAAGGTTATTTTTATTAAAGACTCTATATGCTCTACTTGAAGGAGAATAACCAAGAAAGATACCTTCGTCACTTTTTGGATACCATTATTGTGAATGAAACATTTACATCCAAATGGGTGGGAAGTAACTGATGTTGGGTTTCTTACCATTCCACAGTTTATATGGAGTCTTTTTGAGAAGGGGTCGAATCAGACATCTAATGATAATATGACATGCAGTACTTACAGCTTCCGCCCAGAAGTGGTGAGGTAGAGAGTTTTCCACAATCATGGTTCTTGCCATGTCCTGTAAAGTTCTGTTCTTATACTCTACCACTCCATTCTGTTGAGGTGATCTTGGCGAAGAGAAGTTATGAGATATTCCTTGATCATTACAAAAGTTTTCAAAAACTCTGCTTTCGAACTCTCCTCCATGGTCACTTTTGATAGTAAAAATGTAATATCCTTTTTCACGATGTACCTTCTTACAAAAGATTTCAAAATTCTTTTGAGCTTCATCTTTATGACCCAGAAACATAACCCAACTAAAATGAGAGAAATCATCTACGATAACAAAGGCATATTTTCTACCACTAATGCTAGCAGTTCTAGTTTGACCAAACAGATCCATATGCAGGAATTGAAAAGGTTTAGTAGTAGATACAATGTTTTTGATTTTAAAGGATGATCGAGTTTGTTTTCCTAATTGACATGCATCACAAATATTATCTTTTGAAAAATCTAGTTTTGGAAGACTAATGACAAGATCGAGGTTAGAGATTTTTTGAATAATATGCATGCTAGCATGGCTTTCTGTGTGCCATACCCAAGGATCATTAATCATAGAATCTAGACATATTTGATTACCAAGACTGTCCATGTTGCATATAGTATATACATTTTTGTCTCTATTTTCAGAAAGAATAACTTTACCTAATTCGTCTTCAATAAGCCAACCAGATTTTTTAAAACGAGCCTCATAGTCATTGTCGCATAGTTGACTGATACTGAGAAGGTTGTAACCAAGTTCATCAACTAGGTATACTTCGTCTACATCACATGTTGAGCTGAGATGGACTCTTCCAACTCCAATTATATTCCCTTTTGATTTATCTCCAAATGTGATAGTTCCTTCATCGAATTTGGTGACTGTTTTGAACACTTGTTTGTCACCAGTCATATGACTGGAACATGTTCTATCAAGATACCATTTCCCTTTTCTATTCCTCTTGCGTTGTTCCTGCAATAAAAAATTAATTGTTCTTAGTACCCAAGCTTGCTTGGATCCTGAATGGTTAGCATTCTGAGTGTTAGCTTGACTTGAGGCCTTGGGTCGCCAGAACCATTTCTTGTTGTTTTTAAGCCTGCAATGGTTAGAGGAATGACCAAATTTTCCACAGTAGATGCATAAGGGGTTATTAGAATTTTCATAGCCTTTCTCTGTTTTAATTCTATACCTGCAATGATTAGATTTGTGCCCACTTTTACCATAATGAATACATGAAGAAGTATTTCTAGTTGTAAATTTATGAGAAACATATTGATTTGATTTAACAGAACTATGACTAGCGGATTTTCGTAATCCACTCAGTTGAAGTTGAAGTTCATTAACTTCCTCTTGAAGCATATCCCTCTCAATTTCACATACTTCTAATTTTAACGCCCAATCTTTCTTTTCTCTTTGAATTTTTCGAAGTTCATTTAGAACTTTCTCCATATCTGCAAGAGCAATGTCGATAAATTCTTAAAGTTCATGACAATTTGGACATGTAGGAAGACGTACCTCACTTGTACCTTCGTCAGCCATGAGACCAAGTTCACCTGAGTCTTCATTGCTATCATCATTGATGACCATGAAGCATATGTAGGCAATTTCTTCTTGATCAGATTCTTCTTCATCACTCCAAGCTCCAAAAGATTTCTTCTTTTGAAAGTTTCTACTAAGTTTCTTTTTCAGTTCAGGACATCCTGCTTGGATGTGTCCATGTTTCTCACACTCACAGCATCTTTCATCGTTTTTGTCGTTATCATTGTTCATCTTATCATTTCTGAAGTTTGATTTGCCTCTTCTGCTGTATCTGTTCTTCTTCATCATGTTTGTTATCACTTTGAAAAGCATAGCAATGTTCATATCATCTTCTCCTCCTCCTCCTTCTTCTTCTTCTTCTTCTTCTTCTTCTTCTTCTTCTTCTTCTTCTTCTTCTTCTTCTTCTTCTTCTTCTTCTTCTTCTTCTTCTTCTTCTTCTTCAGCCACAGTTATTTTGAATGCGTCTGTCTTCCTTTTTTCTTGTTGAACTTGCCTGCCTAAATGTATTTTTTCAAATGATATTCTAATGATACTAGTATACTTACCCACGCGATGCGCGGATAGTTTTAAACCAAAAAGAGCATAGAGAAATATTAGAAAGAGATATATAT